ACAGAGTCGGAAGGGACCTTGGAGGTCTTCTAGTCCAACCCCCTGCTGAATAGAATAGAATAGAATAGAATAGAATAGAATAGAATAGAATAGAATAGAATAGAATAGAATAGAATAGAATAAATACTGGTAGAAAATACGGAATGGAATAGAATGGAATGGAATGGAATAGAATAGAAATAGAATAGAATAGAATAGAATAGAATAGAATAGAATAGAATAGAATAGAATAGAATAGAATAGAATAGAATACTGGTAGAAAATACGGAATGGAATGGAATGGAATGGAATGGAATGGAATAGAATAGAATAGAATAGAATAGAATAGAATAGAATAAATACTGGTAGAAAATACGGAATGGAATGGAATGGAATGGAATGGAATAGAATAGAATAAATACTGGTAGAAAATACGGAATGGAATAGAATGGAATGGAATGGAATGGAATGGAATAGAAATAGAATAGAATACAATAGAATAGAATAGAAGAGAATAGAATAGAATAGAATAGAATAGAATACTGGTAGAAAATACGGAATGGAATGGAATGGAATGGAATGGAATAGAATAGAATAGAATAGAATAGAATAGAATAGAATAGAATAGAATAGAATAGAATAGATACTGGTAGAAAATACGGAATGGAATGGAATGGAATGGAATGGAATAGAATAGAATAGAATAGAATAGAATAGAATAGAATAGAATAGAATAGAATAGAATAGAATAAATACTGGTAGAAAATACGGAATGGAATAGAATGGAATGGAATGGAATGGAATAGAATAGAAATAGAATAGAATAGAATAGAATAGAATAGAATAGAATAGAATAGAATAGAATAGAATACTGGTAGAAAATACGGAATGGAATGGAATGGAATGGAATGGAATGGAATGGAATAGAATAGAATAGAATAGAATAGAATAGAATAGAATAGAATAGAATAGAATACTGGTAGAAAATACGGAATGGAATGGAATGGAATGGAATGGAATAGAATAGAATAGAATAGAATAGAATAGAATAGAATAAATACTGGTAGAAAATACGGAATGGAATGGAATGGAATGGAATGGAATAGAATAGAATAGAATAGAATAGAATAACAGAGTTGGAAGGGACCTTGGAGATCTTCTAGTCCAACCCCCTGCTTAGGCAGGAAACCCTCCACCAGGGTCTCCAACCTTGGCAGACTTGTGGACTTCAACTCCCAGAATCCCCCAGCAAGGAATTCTGGGAGTTGAAGTCCACAAGTCTTAAAGTTGCCAAGGTTGGAGACCCCTGCCCTACACCACTAAGATCTGGGGAATCACATCATGGGGGTCAGGAAGATCTGGTTCCCCATAGCTATGAATATGGGAGAGGGCACTGCCTCATACCCACCCACCCCAAGTCCCAGGCAGTGGGTCAGGCCAACCTTGCCTGCTGGGAAGAGGAAGGGTCTGGGGTCTTCACCAAGGCATGTGATGCCACCGGAGGAGGTCTGAAAAGTTATTACCTTCAGTTTCATTTCGTATTAACCTTCATTCATGGTTTAAAAAAACCCCTCAACATTGCACCTGCTGGCTATATGTTTTGACACACGCACATACACAAACACAACAGATGCCTCTCACCCACACACACTGACCCACAAACACAACAGATGCCTCTCACACATGCCTGACCAGGTGGCTCAGTGGCTAAGACGCCAAGCTTGTCACTCAGAAAGGTGGGCGGTTTGAATCCTTAGTTCAGGGGGTTGGACTAGATGACCTCTTCCAACTCTAGTTACTGTTACTGTTCCACTGGGCTGACTCGAGATCCAAGTGGTGCTTATCGGTCGAAAAACCCAAATTTGGAGTTATTTTTTAAAAAATAGAAATTAAAAATACGCTTTAATATCAAAATAATAACAGACGCAGAAATTACGTTTAGCTATAAGCTTATAATGGGGGCTGGGGACTCCCCTCCGGCCTCCCCACCAGCATGGGAAACGTGGCTGCCACCCTCCTCAACCACAATTCCTTGCCAGCCATCAAGATGATAAGAAGGCAACCGTGCCCAAAAAGGCAAGAGAAGCCCCCCACCCTTAAATGGGGAGCCCCCTGTTTCACCTTGCAGGGAGAAAGACCCCCTATAAACCACCTCTGGAAGGGGGGGCAGCCAGGTTCTGGACCCCTCCTGGAGTTGGGTGTCCCCAATGCCCCAAGAGCTCTGGAGAGTTGGGGGTTTTCAGCTCCAGAAGGGAATGGTCTCCCCCCAATCTTTAAGGGACCCCCCCCAAATCTCCCCAGCGGAGATAAAAAAAACATATCTAGCGCAGGAGGAAACGTCAAACCGACATACCTTGTCTTTTTACGGGCATCTTGCAAAGGCGGTTAGTACTATAGCGAGCATGTTAATCTCTTAATCTCCCCCCCCTCTCAACAGATTAAAAGATTTGTAGGGCAGAGGAGGTTTACGCCGCACCCCAAAAGCATTCTGGGGCTTGTAGGAAGGGAAGCTCCCTCCCCAAGCACCCCCATTTCCAAGGGCCGAGAATAAAGTTTCATCCAAGTTTTGGAAGTTTTATTTATTGATTTGTAAATGCTTTTAATAAAGTTCTCTTTGGAGGAGGCTGAATTGGGAAGGTTGTCCATCAGGAGCAAAATAATAATAATAATAATAATAATAATAATAATAATAATAATAATAATAATATAAAATAAAAAAGTTCGACTAGTGATTTGTGATACGAAATCCAGCATGGTTCTTGTTTGCTGTGTATATTGTCATTTTTGTGTAAAATAATAATAATAATAATAATAATAATAATATTCAGGAATGGTTGTTTGGTTCTGGAAATCTCGCTTTCTCCCTATTATTTTACAATTTCATTTATCATCTGTAAATTGTTTTTTTTTTTTAAAGATTTCCGCTTTTGCAATTCAGGGGTTGAAAGGAGGTTTTGGTATGGTCTAGATTTGATAAAGCTACAAACTGAATTAATTTTTATACCAATACCTAGGAATATTATACAGTAGGTAGTCCTCAACTGACATTCGTTTAGGGACCGTTCGGAGTTACGACAACACTGAAGAGTGAAACGATGACCGTTTTTCACACTTATGACCGTTTTTCACACTTATGACTGTTTTTCACACTTATGACCATTGTGGCATCCCCATGGTCATGTGATCAAAATTTGGATGCTTCGCAAGGGACTCATATTTATGACGGTCACAGTGTCCCCGGGGGGTGGGGGGGTCACGTGATTCCCTTTTGCGACTTTCGGACAAAGTCAGATTCACTTAACAACCATGTTACTAACTCAGCAACTGCAGTGATTCACTTAACAACTGTGGCAAGAAAGGTCGTAAAACGGGGCAAAACTCACTTGTCTCGTCTAGCAACGGAAATGACAGGAGGGTCAATTGTGGTCATAAAGTCGAGGACTCTCTGTATATCCATTTCACCTTTTTTGTGAAAGGTATTTAAGATTTTAAATGAGCAATATTTCCCTTTTATTCATATTTAGTTTAGGGTTTTTTTTCCCCTTTCAACCATTTGCCTTTTTTTTCCCCTGATGGCTGGGTAATTTTTTGCACTGGCTATTAAAAATGAACTTTTAAAAAGGAAAATGAAAAATATGAACTAAGCGGATATCCGTTGTTGTTTTTTTCTTAAAAAAAGGTACGAACTAGTAATTGTTCTCTATCACATTTTTAAATTTGGTTCCTGCAGTAGATCATATTTCTAGCTGACCGAGAGGGTTGGAAGTAATAATAATGATTAACGATAGGAATAGATGACTCGGGTGTATCTTCAAGATATTCGCAGCACCATTTGAACATAATCAAATGTTATTAATCAAATATTATTATTAGAGTAATATTAACAAATATTATCATTGGTCAATTGAAAAAGGCAACCTGACTTGGAACAAGCATTGACAGAATCGCCGTCAATCAATTGCAAAAGTCAATTTTATTTGGAAAAATGTTGACAAAAATCACCATCAGTCAATTGCAAAAGGTAACTTGACTTGGAAAAACACTGACAAAAATTCCTGTCAGTCAATTGCAAAAGACAGTTTGACTTGGAAAGGACATTGATAAAAAATCACCATCAATCAATTACAAATTGTTTTACTTGGAAAAACATTGGCAAAAATCACCATCAGTCAATTGCAAAAGACAGTTTGACTTGGAAAGGACATTGATAAAAAATCACCATCAATCAATTGCAAAGACAGCTTGACTTGGAAAGGACATTGATAAAAAATCACCATCAATCAATTGCAAATTGTTTTACTTGGAAAAACATTGACAAAAATCACTGCCAGTCAATTGCAAAAGACAGTTTGACTTGGAAAGGACATTGATAAAAAATCACTGTCAGTCAATTGCAAAAGTCAATTTTACTTGTAAAAACATTGACAAAAATCACTGCCAGTCAATTGCAAAAGTCAATTTTACTTGGAAAGGACATTGATAAAAAAATCACCGTCAATCAATTGCAAATTGTTTTACTTGGAAAAACATTGACAAAAATCCGTCAATTGCGAAAGCCAGTTTGACTTGGAAAGGACGTTGACAAAAATCTGTCAGTCAATTGCAAATTGTTTTCCTTGGAACTGCGTACATCCTTCATACATGATACCTTTACTATCATTAAACGATCCCAGGTCCTTGGAAGGCCTCCCCGGATGGACAAAAATGCAAAATCCAATCTCAGGCAGATTGTGCGACTGACCGACCCAAATTAGTAACTTCGCCGCGACTTTCCAGAGAGTTCCGTGTGTTCTTCGCCGCTGTCTACGGGCTGAGAATCCCCTTCTTCTTTCTCCCCCCCCTTCCTTTAAAAATATTTTGCAACTCAAGACAGCTGCCTTCACCAGGTGCAGCTTTTACCTTTCCAATCCGCCGGATCATCTGGAAATAATGTGAAGATTCCCGGCGTTACGCGGCATCCATTCCTGGCGCATTCATCCTCCCGCCCACGCCCATCAATAATACTCCGCGTTCTCTCCAGATTATTGGATTAAAAACATTTAATAGCAAATTCCCAGAAGGGACGGCGCAACTACAGGAACGGGGAAAACGAGGAGGACGGCTGGATTTGCAAGTACAGGCAGTTCTCGACTTACAACCGCTTGTTTAGTGACCGTTCAAAGTTACAACATCACTGGAAAAAAAAATGACTTAAAGCAGCTCTTATACTTATGGCATAAGTCGCCAACGTCCTCAAGTCACGTGATCACAAAATCCGGGCCCTTGGCAACGAGCTCGTATTTACGACGGTCGCAAGGATCCTGGGATCCCCACTGGCGGCCTTCCCAGCCGGATTCCGACAAGCCAATTCCGGTAGGGAAGGTGGATTCGCTTAACGACGGCAGTGGCTCATAACCATGCCCCCCCAAAAAAGCTTGCAAAATTGGGGGCGACTCAATTAACAACTGCCTTGCTTAGCCATGGAAATTCCGGTTGCAATTGTGGTCGTAAATCGAGGACTACCTGCGGATGTTCGGAGTGCAGTTTCCCCAAAAAAAATGACATCTGGTCTCCCAGTGGGGAGGGGATGTGACCCGAATGCCCCACCCTAAAAAGCTGCAGCACCCCCTGTTGCACCCAGGAAGGAACGAAGCTGAGAGCTGAGGAGGAGGGGGAGGGTCTCAGAAACCCAGGGGGTAAGGAGAGACCACTCCTCCCTTCTCCACCATGGCTTTGGAGATGACCCGAAAATTCTTGAAGATTTGTTGGGTGGTGCTGGACGAAAGAGAGGTCAAGTTCTGAGTGACACGCTTGTAGGCCTGAGGAAAGAGAGAAAGGGAAGATGAGAAGCTGCCCCCCCCTAGTCAAAACACACAAAGACACACAAACACCAAGAACTTTGAGGTTAGGAGAAAAGAGAACGAGAAGAAGAGGGTTCCAAAGTCGTAGAGTTGACAAACACCATGGTCTATGCGCACGCATGTCCAAATCTTAAGACTCGTAGACTTCAAACTCCATGTCTGCTTACTCTCTTTTAATCCCTTTCTTGCAATGTCTCCCTTGGACGACGACTCTGACTCTTCCTCGGAGGCCGGGTCGAGGGAAGGATAAGCTCATTCTTAAGACTTGTGGCCTTCAAACTCTATGTCTGCTTACTCTCTTTTAATCCCTTCCTTGTGATGTCTCCCTCCTCCGATTCTTAGGCCGGCTCGGGGAAGGATGGTGAGCTCATTCCTGGCATATCATGAACTGGCTTAATTAATGACGCTGAACTGCCGGCTGAACGAGATTTATGGGGGGGGGGGAAGAGGGGACTTCGGCTGGGGACAGTTTGCAGGTCAGTGAAGAGGAGGAACTGCTTTCTGTATTGGATCCGAGAGCACACAGGGCAGAGAAAAGACAAGAGCAAAGGAGATCTGCCAGATTACTTTGGAAAGGGCCTCACCAGTCTTCACGGGTCGCACCGGAAAGCTATTTATCACGGCAGGCAGAGGGAGGCGTTGCCTGCCGTGATACACGGGAAACATGGGAACATGTTCGGTGTACCGTGTTTGGTGTGTGTTTGTTTGTGCTTCCTGCTGGACTTCGTGCCTTGGGAAACTCTGAACTTCTCTTGCCAAGTGAGTTCTCGTGGATATACTTAATAAACTCTCTAAAACACGTGTGTGTGAGCATATTCCTCTGCAAACTCTCTACTCTAGGGAGGAAGGGAAAAACCCACAGGCATGGTTGAACGGGGAGGGGGAATTCTGGGAGTTGAAGTCCACAAAAAGTTTGCCAACTTAGGAGAGCCCTGCGGCGTGGGAAACTCGCACAACGTCCGCGGGCACCGCTGCTAGCCTTCCGCTCGTAAATCAGAGGTGGGATTCAGCCCACCTTCGGGCAAACTGGTAGTAGCGACCTTCGGGTGGCCGCCCACCTGCCCCTAAAGGCTGTCCTATTTAGCTACGTTTTCTAATTACGTGAAGCTTCCCTCCGCTCGTAATTTATCGGTCTTGCAAAGGACCGATAAATTATTTCGTGCCAATTATTTATCTATTATCTTGCTTTTCCATTCGTTAAATTGAGAACTGGATGAGAAAGCCCCCCCCCCAATCCTCTCTGGGGGCGGGGCTAACCCGATTACCTGGGCTGCCTCCGCGGACGCCGTCGGAATTGAGCTCTGGGTAATAAAGAGGATTTTAACAGCGCCCGGGAGAACTGGGACCCCCTCCTCCCTGGAGGACATCCCCTTCAGGTAAGCGACACAAGGGGGGGTTCTCACCATTTCTTTCCGGGGGGGGGTGAGTTCCACTGGAAACCATCCCTGCTTTTCTTAATAATTTAAAAAAATACCCTGCCAAACTCCCTTCCTTGTTTCTTTTTCTTTCCTCCCTCTCCTCTCCTTTTTTTCTTTCCGTCCTCTTTTTTCTTCTTCCTTTAGCTATCTGTCTCTTTATCGACACCTCCATCTTTATTTCTCCTTCCTTCCCTTCTCTCTTGCCTTTCCTCCTTTTTCTGGCTTTCTCCCATCCTTAATTTTTTTTCTTCCTTCCTTCCTTTTCCTCCCTCTCTTCCTTCCTTCCCTCTCCTTCCTCTTTCCCTCTTCATTACTTTCCTTCCCTTCTTTTTTCCCTCCCTTTTTTCTTTCACTTTTTCTTCCTCCCTTCTTCCTTTCGTTTCTTTTTCTTCCTCCTCCCTTCATTACTTTCCTTTCCTCCTTTCTTTCCCTCCCTTTTTTTTCTTTACTTCCTCCCTTTGTTCTTTTTCTTTTCTCTTTCCTTCCGTCTTTCTTTTTCTCTCTCTCTCTCTCTCCCTTTCTTTCTACCTATCTCTCCCTTCCTTTCTTTTTTTTCTTTTTGTCTCTCCCTTCCTTTCTCTCACTCTCCCTTTCTTTCTATCTCTCTCTCTCTCCCTTACTTTCTTTTTTCTTTTCTTTTTCTGTCTCTCCCTTCCTTTCTTTCTCTCTCTCCCTTTAAATCTATCTATCTCTCCCTTCCTTTCTTTTTTCTTTTTTTCTTTTTCTCTGCCTCTCCCTTCCTTCCTTCCTCTTTGTTTCTTTATTTTTTCTTCCTCTCTCTCTCTCTCTCTCTCTCTCTCCTTTTTCCCATCTTCCCTCCCTTTTCGATCTCTCTCTCTTTCTCTCCTTCCTGCCTCCCTCCTTTATCTTAAGACTGCTGGACACTTGGGGTGAATTTGTGACTCACGTACCTTCCTGCCCACCTCCACATCTCTCCCTCCCTCCTTCCCTCCACCCCCATCAGGCTAAGTCCTGGCCAGGGGCAGCCCTCCACAGATACTGACCCCCCCCTCCCCATCCACCCCCCCCCCACCCAAAGAAGCCCTACCTCCATGCACCAGGTCTCACATAGCATCTTCTCGTGCTGGGCCGTGGCCTGTCCTTGCTCCAGCGCCCGCGATGCTCTTTCGACGTAAACCGAAGAGGAGAGTAAAATCAAAGAGAAGGTAAGACTCGCACCTGAATTACTAGGTGGGACGTTCGGCAGGGCGCAACTTAATCAGAGCTGTTTTAAGTGGACTAGAAATCTCCTTTGTTTGCTCAGAATTTCTTAAAACTACCCACTGGGTCCTCAAGGCAGATCCTGGATCCCCAATCGATCCTTTCCTGCCTAGATTTTTTAGAATAACAGAATGACGAAGTTGGAAGGGACCCCCTGTCCATGCAGGAGACCCTAGACAAATGGCTGTCCAATTTCTTCTTAAAAAACCTTCCAGTGATGGAGCAACCCACCACTTCTAGTGGCAAGTTGTTCCACTGTTTAATTGTCCACACTGTCAGGAAGTTTCTCCTTAATTCCAGATTGCTTCTCCTCTTGTTTAGTTTCCATCCGTTGCTTCTTGTCCTGCCCTCAGGTGCTTTGGAGAATAGCTTGGCTCCCTCTCTTCTTTGGGGCAGCCCCTCAAATATGGGAAGATGCTATCATGCCACCCCTCGTTTAATGTCCTTCTTGTCATTAAACGAGACCGACCCAATTCCCGCAACCATTCATCATACGTTTTAGCCTCCAGTCCCCTCATCCTCTTTGTTGCTCTTCTCTGCCCTCTTTCTTAAGAGTCTCCACATAATTTTTACATCTCGGCGACCAAAACTGGACGCAGGATTCCAAGAGTGGCCTTACCAAGGCCTTATAAATTGGTACTAACACTTCACATGGTAAGTATCCCCATTGTGGTTTGCTTATTCTCTTCTAATCCCTTCCTCTGCGATCTCTCTACTTTAGGGGGTAGGAGGAAAAAAAACCCAGGCATGGCTGGCTGGGAAATGCTGGGGTCTTGCCAAGGCCTTATAAAGTGGTATTAACACTTCACATGGTAAGTATCCCCATTGTGGTTTGCTTATTCTCTTCTAATCCCTTCCTCTGCGATCTCTCTACTTTAGGGGGTAGGAGGAAAAAAAACCCAGGCATGGCTGGCTGGGAAATGCTGGGGTCTTGCCAAGGCCTTATAAAGTGGTATTAACACTTCACATGGTAAGTATCCCCATTGTGGTTTGCTTATTCTCTTCTAATCCCTTCCTGTGCAATCTCTCCACTCTGGGAGGTAGGAGAAAAAGGAACAGGCGTGGGAGATTTTAAATTTATAAAGCGGTGCTAATACTTGATTCTACCCCTCTGTTAATGCAGCCTAGATCTGGGGGGGAGGGGGGGAGGGCTCTTGGGGGGCAGCGAAATCTCACCTGGACAGAACGACCACCATGGCATAGATATCAATTGCGCTATCTGCGATCTGTTTCAGCATAAACTGCTCCTCTGGAATTTTGGAGAGAAAGGGAGAAAAGAAGAGTCACAGTAGCCGAGGCTGAAATCTCGCAAACGGCAGAGAGAAGCCGGATCAATACAAGCAGTCCTCGACTTATAACCGCAAACGGCAATCAAACTGCCCGTTGCTAAGCCAGGCAGTTGCGGACTGACGCCCAATTTTTAACTTTTTTTTTTTTTGTCACAGCTGTGAAATCTTTTTTGTCACAGCTGCAGTCGTTAAGCGAGTTGGGCGGTCATTAAGCAAGTCTGGCTTCTCCCGTTGTTTTGCTTGTCGGAAGCCGGCTGGGAAGGTCGCCAAAGGGCATCACGTGACCCATCACGTGACGGCCGTCATAAATACGAGTCAGCTGCCGGAGCATTTGAATTTTGATCCCATGACCATGTGACAGTTGTTAACTGCGAGGACTTACTTTATTATTTTATTTTATTTTATTATTTTATTTATTTTAATTTATTTTATTTAATTTATTATTTTATTTTATTTTATTATTATTTTATTTTATTTATTTATTTTATTTTACTTATTTTATTTATTTTATTTTATTTTATTATTGTATTTTATTATTTTATTATTTTATTTTATTTTATTATTATTTTATTTATTTTATTTTATTTTATTATTTTATTATTTTGTTTTATTTTATTATATTATTATATTATTAAATTATATTATATTATATTATATTATATTATATTATATTATATTATATTATATTATATTATATTATATATTTTATTATTTTATTTTATTTTATTTTATTTTATTTTATTTTATTTTATTTTATTTTATTTATTATTTTACTTTATTTGTATACCGCCCTTCTCCGGCAGGACTCAGGGCGGTGAACAGCCAAGGTAAAACATAGCATACAAAAATTCAAAACAATTTAAAAAGATATTAAACAATTTCGGCCCACAACTTAAAAACACCCCAATAAAATAAAAATCAATTACACATTTAACAACCGCAGTGACTCGCTTAACGACGGTGGCAAGAAAGGTCGTAAAATGAGGCAAAACTCACTGTAACCAATGTTTTGTTTAGCAACAGAAATGTTGGGGGACTCCATTGCGGTTGTTAACTCGAGGACTACCTGTATTGGGGGGGGGGGGGGGGGGCAAGCAGAGGTTTGTCCCTCCAGCCAGGCCCTCCTGGTAAGCAATCCATGGGGGTCCCCCCTCCCCACCTCAGCCCCCCCCCCCCCAAACTCACCGACAACTTTCTTTCCATGTCTGAGAAGCTGGTTCTCGATCACGCCCGCAAAGAGGTCAATGGCTTCGACGGCCTGGAAAAGGGGGAGAGAGGAGGGGTGGGGGGTGATCCAAAAAGTGCAAGGGGGGCAGGGGAAGGCAAGACCCCCAAGCTCCCCCCCCCAGGGGTGTAACAATCCTGCCCTCTGGGGGATGAAGCTGCCCTGAGCCCAGCTTTTCTGCACCTCCAGCCTTCGAGATGGGAGAACTACAATTCCCATGGTGGGAATTAAGCAGCCTGGGGCTTGTAGTCGAACCCGTCTGAAGCCCACCTGGCATGGGAGGGGGGGGGAAAGCTCCCCGAGACCCCAATTCCATCCCCAACTGACTGTTTCTTAAAAACAGCCCACGTGACGACCCTAAATAATACGATATATTTGTTTCTTTTTTTAATAGCCTGCTTTTATTGTTATTTTTATAAATAATTCAAGACACAACTTTTCCTCTCTTTATTTTCTCCACAACAACCCTGTGAGGTGGGCTGGGTTGAGAGGGAGGGACTGGATCAAAGTCACCCAGTTGGCTTCCATGCCTAAGGCGGGACTAGAACTCAGAGCCGTCTGGTGATTGGGCTAAAGTCACCCAGTTGGCTTTCATGCCTAAGGCGGGACTAGAACTCACCGTCTCCTGGTGATTGGCCCAAAGTCACCCAGTCGGCATTCATGCCTAAGGCGAGACTAGAACTCACCGTCTCCTGGTGATTGGCCCAAAGTCACCTAACTGCCTTTTGTGCTGAAGGTGGGACTAGAACTCCCAGTCTCCTGGTGATTGGCCCAAAGTCACCCAGTTGGCTTTCATGCCTAAGGTGGGACTAGAACTCACTGTCACCTGGTGATTGGCCCAAAGTCACCCAGCTGGCTTTCATGCCTAAGGCGGGACTAGAACTCACCATCTCCTGGTGATTGGCCCAAAGTCACCCAGTCGGCATTCATGCCTAAGGCGAGACTAGAACTCACCGTCTCCTGGTGATTGGCCCAAAGTCACCTAACTGCCTTTTGTGCTGAAGGTGGGACTAGAACTCCCAGTCTCCTGGTGATTGGCCCAAAGTCACCCAGTTGGCTTTCATGCCTAAGGTGGGACTAGAACTCACTGTCACCTGGTGATTGGCCCAAAGTCACCCAGCTGGCTTTCATGCCTAAGGCGGGACTAGAACTCACCATCTCCTGGTGATTGGCCCAAAGTCACCCAGTCGGCATTCATGCCTAAGGCGAGACTAGAACTCACCGTCTCCTGGTGATTGGCCCAAAGTCACCTAACTGCCTTTTGTGCTGAAGGTGGGACTAGAACTCCCAGTCTCCTGGTGATTGGCCCAAAGTCACCCAGTTGGCTTTCATGCCTAAGGTGGGACTAGAACTCACTGTCACCTGGTGATTGGCCCAAAGTCACCCAGCTGGCTTTCATGCCTAAGGCGGGACTAGAACTCACCATCTCCTGGTGATTGGCCCAAAGTCACCCAGTCGGCATTCATGCCTAAGGCGAGACTAGAACTCACCGTCTCCTGGTGATTGGCCCAAAGTCACCTAACTGCCTTTTGTGCTGAAGGTGGGACTAGAACTCCCAGTCTCCTGGTGATTGGCCCAAAGTCACCCAGTTGGCTTTCATGCCTAAGGTGGGACTAGAACTCACTGTCACCTGGTGATTGGCCCAAAGTCACCCAGCTGGCTTTCATGCCTAAGGCGGGACTAGAACTCACCATCTCCTGGTGATTGGCCCAAAGTCACCCAGTCGGCATTCATGCCTAAGGCGAGACTAGAACTCACCGTCTCCTGGTGATTGGCCCAAAGTCACCTAACTGCCTTTTGTGCTGAAGGTGGGACTAGAACTCCCAGTCTCCTGGTGATTGGCCCAAAGTCACCCAGTTGGCTTTCATGCCTAAGGTGGGACTAGAACTCACTATCACCTGGTGATTGGCCCAAAGTCTCCCAACTGGCTTTCATGCCTAAGGCGGGACTAGAACTCAGAGCTGCCTGGTCATTGTCCGAAAGACACCCAGCTGGTTTTCATGGCTAAAACAGGTTCAAGTCTTATATACAAGTAGTCCTCGACTTACAACAGTTCCTTTAGTGACCGCTCAAAGTTACAACAACACTGAAAAAAATGACTTATGACCATTTTTCACACTTACGACCGTCGCAGCAACCTCATTGGCCACGTGGTCCAAATTCAGACGTTTGGCAACTAACTCATATTTATGACATCCCGGGGTCGTGTCATCCCCTCTTGCAAGCCAAATCAATGGGGGAGCTGGATTCACTTAACAACCGTTTGACTCACTTAACAACCGCGATGATTCACTTCACAACTACGGCACCAAAGATGGCGAAATGAGTGCAACTCTCACCCTAACGACTGTCTCGCTTCGCAGTGGCCATTTGAGGTTTCACCTGCGGTTCCCTTAACCCCCTTGGCATGGAAGGTCGTAACATGGGGTAAAACTCACTTAATGACTGCCTCGCTTCGCAGCAGTCATTTGAGGCTGCGATTCCCTTAACCCCCTCGGCATGGAAGGTTGTAAAACGGGGCAAAACTCACTTAATGACTGTCTCGTTTTGCAGCAGCCATTTGAGGGTTCAGTTGCAATTCCCTTAACCCCCTCGGCAAGGAAGGTCGTAAAACGGGGCAAAACTCACTTAACAACTGCCTCGCTTAGTATCGGAAATTTTGGGCTCTGTTGTGCGGTTGAGGACTAAGTGTGTGCGTTAAGTGCCACAGCTGTCTGTCTGGCTGTCGGAGGATAATCGTATCCCGGAGCCGTTGGGTACAAACACACAAAAACACACAAAAGACTTACCTGCTCACTGCTGGATTCCAAACTTGGATGTATCACACCTTTTAAGGTGATTCCTGTCCCCAAGCCTGCCCTCCTGGAGAGATTGGGGGGCGGGGGGGTTGGGAGAGATAAAGGGGGTGAGAAGCAGCTTCACAACTCTTTCCAACCCCCCCCTCCTTTCCACCAAGCCCACCCTAAAAACACAGAGCAGCCACAAAATGGTCACAAAGCGAGATTTAAAATGTGCAGAGCCACAGGGAGCAGGAGATGGACTCATTCACACAACCCTTCGGTCATAAAACGAAGCGGAAACGATGGTTTTGTATTTTGCTTTTGAAGTCGATGGGAGCTCAGGGTTCGATGGGAAAAATGACGGACGGATGGAGAACCAAAAAAAAAAAAAACCCCCACCAAAACTCAAAAAGATTTTGACGGGCAACGTAGAAATAATAAAGAGAGAAACTCACTGCCGCAAAATGGAAACTGATCTTCTCGGTAGCTTTAAAAATAATAATAATAATAATAATAAAAAGGAGACAGACTCGCTGGAAAAAGGCTGAGTTTGTTAGCCACAAATTACAGGTAGTCCTCACTTAACAACCGTTTAATGGGCCTTCGGAGAGGGGCGGCATATAAATTGAATAAATAAATAAAATAAATAATGACCGTTCAAAGTTCCAATGGCACTGGGAAAAGTGACTTAAGGCCGTTTCTCACACTTATGACCGTTGGGTCACGTGACTGAATTTCGATCAGACGCTTGGCAATTGACTCGTACTTACGACCCAGATCCACTTTTGCAACCTTCTGATGAGGAAAAGTTCAATGGGGGAGAGCCAGGTTCGCTTAACAGCCGTGTGACCCACTTAACGATGGCAGGGATTCCCTTAACAAGCGTGGCAAGGAAACTCAAAATTCACTTAACCTATGTCTCGCTTAGCAACATAAATTCAGGGCTCAATCATGGTCGTTAAGATGAGGACAAACCCGTAGATAGAGAGCCTCCAATGCCAGGAGCAGTTCTCCTCTGAGAACGGAGGCATTTGCTACCTCTAGGACGTTAAGAGAGGAATTTCTGGAGAATAAAAGTTTGTCTAATATAGTGAGAGGCCAGATTCGCTGACAGCCCCACATCCTGTGATCTTTTTAGGGCGATAGGGAAGCCATGTTGGCTTGTTATACATCCTGGCTTAGTTGTAACCACGAATCACCGTCTTCCGGTGACGCCACGGCCGGCAGGATTCCTCCCACGTCCTCTTGTCTCTCCTCCCACCGTATTTTCCCGGCTTTGGGAAGCGGAATCCGCCCACACCTGATCGGGGAGGAAAGAGGCGTACCTGCGGACTCGTTTCCCCGCCTCGCTGACCAACAACCCAGCATTGCCAAAGGGGTTCTTGATGGCTTGTTGCAAACCACGAAGCTGGTTCCCGGCGTTCTGGACCAGAAGGAAAAGACAGCGGAGAAGATCAAAGCTGGATTTCCTTACGCCGTACCCTTCTGGATCCGCTGCCCCACTGCTCCATTGGCTAACGGGTCAGGACTATCCGTCCCTGTTCCCCCCCCCAACGCGGCTTAGTGCGGTCCCCCAAATCTCGCCCGTCGCTAAAAGTCACGCACCTGGAACCCGTAGAGGGCAATGAAAAGCCGCAAGATATCATTGGTGCCTTCGAAGATCCGGAAGATGCGCAGATCCCGCATCACTTGTTCCACGCCGCTTTCCTGCAGCCGGGGAAATCAGATGGCAGGAAGAGGAGAAAGAGAAGAAGGAAGAGAAAAGAGAAAAGAGAAAGGAGAAAGAGGAAGGAGGAGAAAGAGAAAGAAAAAGAAAAAGAAAAGGAGAAAAGGAGAAAGAGAAAGGGAAAGGGAAAGGGAAGGAGAGGGAGAGGGAGAGGGAGAGGCAGAAACAGAAAGAGAAAGGAAGAGGAGAAACAGAAAGGAGGAGAAAGAAAAAGAAAAAGAGAAAAGAGAAAAAAGAAAGGAGAAAGGGAAGGAGAGGGAGAAAGAGGAAGGAGGAGAAAGAGAAACAGAAAGGAGGAGAAAGAGAAAGAAAAAGAGAAGGAGAAAAGAAGGAGAAAGGGAAAGGGAAGGAGAGGGAGAGGCAGAAACAGAAAGAGAAAGGAGGAGGAGAAACAGAAAGGAGGAGAAAGAGATAGAAAAAGAGAAGGAGAAAAGAAGGAGAAAGAGAAGGAGAAAGGGAAAGGGAAGGAGAGGGAGAGGCAGAAAGAGAAAGGAGGAGGAGAAAGAGAAAGGAGGAGAAAGAAAAAGAGGAGAAAAGAAAAGGAGAAAGGAGAAACAGAAAGTGAAAGAAAAAGAGGAGAAAGGGAAGGAGAAAGGGAAAGAGAAGGAGAAAGAAAAAGAAAAGGAGAAAGGGAAAGAAAAAGTGGAGGAAAAGAAAAAAAGAAGAGAAAGAGGAGATGAAGAAGGAGAAGGACAAAGAGGAGGAGAAAAAGGAGGAGGAGAAAGAGAAACAGAAAGAGGAGAAAAAGAGAAAGGAGAAAGGGAAAGAGGGAGAAAGGAGGAGAAACAGAAAGGAGGAGAAAGAGAAAGAAAAAGAGAATGAGAAAAGAAGGAGAAAGAGAAAGGGAAGGAGAGGGAGAGGCAGAAACAGAAAGAGAAAGGAAGAGGAGAAACAGAAAGGAGAAAGAAAAAGAAAAAGAGGAGAAAGAGAAGGAGAAAGGGAAAGGGAAAGAGAAGGAGAAAGAAAAAGAAAAGAGAAGGATAAAGGGGAAAAAAAGAGGAGGAAAAGAGAAAAAGAAGAGAAAGAGGAGATGAAGAAGGAGAAGGACAAAGAGGAGGAGAAAAAGGAGGAGGAGAAAGAGAAACAGAAAGAGGAGAAAAAGAGAAAGGAGAAAGGGAAAGAGGGAGAAAGGAGGAGAAACAGAAAGGAGGAGAAAGAGAAAGAAAAAGAGAATGAGAAAAGAAGGAGAAAGAGAAAGGGAAGGAGAGGGAGAGGCAGAAACAGAAAGAGAAAGGAAGAGGAGAAACAGAAAGGAGAAAGAAAAAGAAAAAGAGGAGAAAGAGAAGGAGAAAGGGAAAGGGAAAGAGAAGGAGAAAGAAAAAGAAAAGAGAAGGATAAAGGGAAAAAAAGAGGAGGAAAAGAGAAAAAGAAGAGAAAGAGGAGATGAAGAAGGAGAAGGACAAAGAGGAGGAGAAAAAGGAGGAGGAGAAAGAGAAACAGAAAGAGGAAAAAAAGAGAAAGGAGCAAGGGAAAGAGGGAGAAAGGAGGAGAAACAGAAAGGAGGAGAAAGAGAAAGAAAAAGAGAAGGAGAAAAGTGAAGAAGGAGAAAGAGGAGAAAGAGAAGGAGAAAGAAAGACGGAGAAAGAAAGAGAAAGGAAAAAGAGAAAAAAGGAGAAAGGGAAAGAGGAAAGAGAGAGAGAGAGAAGTGAAACTGATTGATGCCAAATGGTTTGATGACATTAATGGTGCTCATTGCTCAGATCTATGCTTGATCCGAGACCGGTGCGTGGATTAAACCATCATTGAACATTGGCACGTAAACCGTACAAACTAAGGCAATCTTTGGTTCTCCGATAAAGCCGATAAAAGGTTCAGGAAACCAGATAGGGGTTCCCAACTTTAAACTGGGGGGACTTCAGTTCCCAGAATTCCCTAGCCTAGCACGAATGCATTCCTTTTGAGGCGTACTCTCTTAGAATCCCTTCCTCTGCAATCTCTCCGTTCGAAGAGGCAGGAGACTTAAAAAACAGGCCTGGCTGGCTGGGGAATTCTGGGAGTTGGAAGTCCGCCCAGCTTAAAGCCACCAAGGTTGAGAAGCGCCGACGGAAACAGACATTGACAAATGATAATTTCCTCGTTATCAGCGAAGAGACCAGCCTCCTCACCGTTTCCGCGGGAAACCATTTTGAAAGAAATAAAAAAAAAAAAACCAGGAGATTGAATAGGTTCCAAAGGGCCCGTAAAAAAAAAAAAAAGCTTCTTGGGAGATGCTTGTTAAGCTCCCATTTTCCAGAGTCGCCTAAATAAACGAAGCTAACTTGAACCCTGGATATTAGCCCCCCCATCTCCCCCCCCCAAATAAACTGACCTTCATGAAGCCCATGCCCCCCATGGTCTGGATGCATTCGTCTGACACGCTCCAGGCAGCTTCCTGCAGGTGGCGGGAAAAAAGACAGATCAAAGCAACACGGAAGGAAGGATCCTGTCTGGATATGACGGGCACGTCTCCTTCCTTCCTTCCTTCCCTCTTTCATTTTTTTTCTCTTTCATTTTCCTTCCTTCCTTCCCCATTTCTGCCCTTTCATTTTCCTTCCTTCTTTTTCTCCCTCCCTCCTTCCTTCATTTCTTTCATTTTCCTTCCTTCCACAATTTTTCTTTCATTTTCCTTCCTTCCCTTTTTTCTCTTTCATTTTCCTTTTTTTCTCTCCTCCTTCCTTCCTTCCCTTTTTTTCTTCCATTTTCTTTTCTCTCCTTCCTTTTTCTTTCATTTTCCTTCCTTCTTTTTCTCTCTCCTACTTTCCTTTCTCATTTTTTCTCTTTTATTTTCCTTTTTCTCTCTCCTACCTTTCTTTCTCATTTTTCTCTTTCATTTTCCTTTCTACTTTCTTTCCTTCCTTGTTTCCTTCCTTTCTCTTTCATTTTCCTTCCTTCCTTTTTTTCTTCCATTTTCTTTTCTTCTTTCTCTCTCTACCTTTTCTCATTTTTCTTTCATTTTCCTTTCTTTCTCTCCTTCCTTCCTTTCTTTCGTTTTCCTTCCTTCCCTTTTTTCTTCCCTTTTTTCTTCTTTCTCTCTCCTACCTTTTCTCATTTTTCTCTTTCATTTTCCTTTCTTTTCTTTCTCTCTTTCCTTCCTTTCTCTTTTATTTTCCTTCCTTCCTTTTTCTTGCATTTTCTTTCCTTCTTTCTCTCCTTCCTTCCTTTTCTTTCCTTTTCTTACCTTCTTTTCCTCTCTCCTCCCTCTCCCTTCCCCATTTTTTCTTTCATCTTCCTTCCTTTTTCTCTCTACCTTCCTTTCTCATTTTTCTTTCATTTTCCTTCCTTCCTTCTCTCCCCTCTCCCCCATTTTTTCTTTCATTTTCTTTCCTTCCTTCTCTCTCCCCTATTTTTTTTCGTTTTCCTTCCTTCCTTTTCTCTCTCCTTCCTTCCTTTCTCATTTTTTCTCTTTCATTTTCCTTCCTTCCCTCTTTTCTTTCAACTTCCTTCCTTCCTTCCCTTTCTTTCCCTCCATCCCTTCATCCCACCCACAACTGATGAGAGGACAACATTTGTGATTGATGCAAACTGCATCCTGTGGATCAGCCCCGGGGTGACATCGTCCCACTTCCTGGCCTGCAGAGACCCCCCCCCCTCCCCAAGCAGGCCAAAGGGCCACAGGGGCTGTGGGAGGGGGGGGCAGAAACCATAACCAGATTGGCACCCTGGTACCCTCGCCAGCACTCACCGAGCCGAAGACTTTGCTGATGGCCGCCTCGATCTGGAAGTCAGAAGCCCCCCGGTCCATGTTGGCGCTGATCATGTACGCCATTGACTAAAATTTTAAAATATTGTTTAATAACAGTAATTTTTTTTTTTAGCATTATATTGTAGAGGGTCTAGAAAATTGGGTTGAATTTACGTCCGTTTGTAGCATCCTGCAGTCATGTGAGCAGAATTTATGGGGTTTTAAAACTGTGTTTATTTATTCATTTTAATTAAATTTATTGGTTGTCCCTCTTGCCACAGGGCAAATCTGGGAGTCTGGCTGTATTAAAAGGACACAATGATTCGATATTAATTAACATTAATTATATGAATGATTAAATATTAACTATTAATTATGACTGCCTTAAAAGGATACGACGCAAAACCTTTGATTCTACACAATCAAATAACATTTAATAAAAATATAAATACTCAAAAAGATTTTGCCACAAATGTGTCTAATTCCCATTTCTGGCAAAAAAAAAAAACAAAACCCATTGAAACAATGAAAATTCACTTAAAGAGGTCATTAAAAATGGATTCCATTCCGTAGTGACCCACTTAACGCCCGGCACGACTTACGACTGGAATTCAGGGCTCAATTCCGGTCGTTATGGCGAGGACGACAAGTCTCACAGAAAGGGTCTTTACGTTATTATACGCTAATTTTTTTTCTTTCAAGGTGTGGTCTCCGGATCGGTGTCAGAGATTTGATTTCGGAAGAACTAAGTTTCTAGTCCTCAAGGTGGCCAAGTTAGCCGGGAACCACACAGACCTGAGAAATGACACTTGGGGTGCCCGTTTTGCATGCCCGTACCTCCGTCACGTAGTGGAGCAATGCCATGCGGGCGAGTTTTTCCTGGATGGCTCCGAAAGTGTGGATTTTTTCCCCAAACTGAGTTCGGTTGGCGGCAAAGTCCACCTTTGGGAGAGAAAGGGAAAAAAAGAGAGTAAGGTTTAGAAGGGGAAACAGCTAGTCCTCGACTTACAACTGTTCATTCAGCAACCTTTTAAAGGTACATGGGCACTGAAGTAAGTGACTAAAGACCATTTTTCATACTTACGACCATTGCAGTCACATGATCAAAAACCAGACGCTTGGCAACTGACTCACATTTATGACAGTCCCTGGGGTGTGTCACCTGATCACCTTCCCTCAAGCAAAGTCAATGAGGATGCCGGATTCGTTTAATGACATGGGATTCACTGAACAGCCACAGTGATTCACTGAACAACCTTGGCAAGCAAGGTCGTAAAACGGGGCAAAACTCACTTGACAAATGTCTCGCTTACCAACAGAAATTATGGGCTCAATTGCGGTCGTAAGTCGAGCATTAGAGTTACCACACAACTGCAGTGATTCGCTTAACAACCTTGGCACGAAAGGTCGTAAAACAGGGCAAAGCTCACTGAACAAATGTCTCGCTCAGCCACAAAAAAATTGGGACTCAATCACGGTCGTAATTTGGATAACTTCAATGGGGGTGCCTGAGAAGAAAGTGGGGGCCCCAAAGTCACTCACCGCCTTGTGAATGAGCGCCCGCATGGTGCCCGCCATGGCGGCTGCCATCCCGAAGCGCCCGTTGTTCAGGATATTCATGGCCACCTTGAACCCGGCGCCTGGCGCGCCTAGAACGTTCTCCACCGGCACTCGGACGTTATCAAAGTGGACTTCAGCCGTGTTGGACGCCTTGATGCCCATCTTCTTCTCGGGGGGGCCGCTGGGGGGGGGGCAGGAGGGGAAATTAAGACACCCCAGAACAGGGATCTCCAACTTTGGCCACTTTTAAGACTTGCGGACTTCAACTCCCAGAATTCCCCATTCAATCATGCGGAGGAATTGCAGAGGAAGGGATTACAAAAGAGTAAGCAGGCATAGAGCTGAAGTCTAGTGAAGCTGGTGGAGGAATTCTGGGAGTTGAAGTCCAGAAGTCTTAAAGTTGCCAAGGCTGGAGACCCCTGGCCCAGGAGACCCCGGGGGCGGGGTTCCCCTTCTCTGCCCTGCCCCAAACTTCGCCCCACCGGTTCAAGGGGGGGGGGGAGAGCCTGTCTCCGTACCCCAAAAGGAACTGAAAATTCCAATGCTTGGATATTGGGGGGACGAGGTGTCCTTTGACGGCTCACCTGGTGACCCCCGCAAAAGCCCGCTCCACGATGAAGGCCGTGACCTTGTCCTTCATCTTCCCCGTCTCGTCTTGCTGCGGCGTTTTGGCAAAAACGGTGAATATTTCGGCGATGCCGCCATTGCTGGGTGAGAAAAGGCGGTTTTAGGACCCTCATCCTTGTCCCCCCTCCCGTAAAAGACCTCCGCGAATTGAATTCTTGATTATTTATTTCCCTCTTTTGCCTTCTGGTTTGTCTTTTTGCAGAAAATGGCAGACTCGTTTAGCGACCGTTTGAAGTTACCACGGCAAGGAAAAACAAGAGTCTTGGGCTCTGTCCTCGCACTTACGACTGTCGTGGCATTCTCGGTATTGTAAAAATTCAGACTCTTGGTAATCAGCATGTATTTATGACGGTTGTGGTGTCCAGGAGATCACCTGACCGGTCTTTCGGAGGAGCAAAAGTCAACGGGGAAGCCCGATTCGCTTAACAACCATTGGATTCGCTTAATGACCACGATTCGTTTAACGACCGTGGAAAAGAAGGTGAAAAAAAAAATTCTGCTTCCCAGTCTGGTCGTAATACCTGCGTTTTATTCATCATCTGCAATATTGGTATGCAAAAAAATTTAAACTTAAGCCTTGTCTCCAGAACCGGAATCAATCCTGATCAATCAAAATCTGAATTATTATTATTTATTTATTTATTTATTTTTATATGCCGCCCTTCTCTGGAGACTCAGGGCGGCTTACAATGCGTTAAGCAATAGCCTCCATACTTTTGTATATTTTATACAAAGTCAGAATTATTTAATTCTGAATTAATCAATCACATCGGAATTAAATGCAGCATCGGAGCAGCAGGAGCTAATCAGAATCGGGGGGGAAACTGAGGCCCAAAGGGGTCCCTCTCGCATCAAGCAGAAAACCGGGCAGCTTCGCTTTCCAGACCTCTTGGCCTTCTAAATTACAGGTGGTCCTTGACTTACGACGACAAGGGAGCCCGTCAAGTTGTTAAGCGAATCCCGGCAGCGCTTGAATGAATCGCATTGTCGTTAAGTGAATCTGGCTACCCCCCTCCCCCAATTGACTCTGCTTGGTAGAAGGTCACAAAATGTGACAACCGCCCCCACCCACCCCCGGACGCTACAACTGTCATAAATACTTGTCCAGAGTCTCGATTTTTGACCACGTGATCATGGGGATGCGGCAACGGTCGTAAGTGCGAAACACGGTCCTAAATCCCTTGTTCCGGTGCCGCTGTTAACTTCGAGCGGTCGCTAAACGAACGGTCGTGAAGGGGAGGACGGCCTGTATTTCAAGGCCGTTTAAAAGTCATTCTCTGGATAATGGGGGGGGGGCACATCACCTGTGTGTCGTCCGTCCGTCCCCCCACCTGGAAGGCCGCCTCACCTGATCCAGAGTTTGCTCCCGTTGAGAGTGTAGTAGGTACCGCAAGGGCTGAGTTCGGCTCTGGACCGGATCGAGGCCGCGTCGGAGCCGCTGGTGTTCTCGGTCAGGCAGAAGGCGGCGATGTGCTCACCTGGGCGGAGGGGGGGCGAGGAAGGAGGGAGGGAGAAAGTGACACAAAAGGCATTCCTTTTATATTATTTATTTTATTTTATTTTTATTTTACTTCGAATTTATTTACCGCCCTTCTTCCTGGGAACTCGGGGCGGTGTACAGCCAGATAAAAACACATAATATAAACATTAAGAGCAGATTAAAAGGAAATATCTCAATTTGGCCAAAAATTTAAAAAAACACCCCAATTTAAAAACATTTAAATGGATTTGTTAGGCCAGCCCGGCTTGTTGGAAAAGGAAAGTTTTAAGGGCACGGCCCTTATATAAATGTATAATACAAACATCAATCAATCAATCAATAAATAAATAAGCAAAACACAAAATAAGCAAAACATGAAGTACATAAAATAAACATCATAAACTAAATAAAGCATCAATAAAATAAAACATTAAGCCGCCCCGAGTCCTTCGGGAGAAGGGCGGTATATAAATTTGATTAAATGAATGAATGAATGAATGAATGAATAAATAAAGAAATAAATAAATAAGAAAGAAAGAAAGAAAGAAAGAAAGAAAGAAAGAAAGAAAGAAAGAAAGAAAGAAAGAAAGAAAGATTATCATAATAAACCATAAATAAAACAAATAAAAAGAGAAATAAAATCTGGCACCGGATGAACTTCCTTCCATGCAACGCAGCCAGGGACAAAGATTCAATTTGGGGTGGGTGGGATTCCCATCCTGGGTTTGGGGGGGGGGTCCCTTGCCCCACCCTGGCAGTGCCACCCTCTCTCCCTCCCCTCCCCCCCCGTGCCCGGCCTTACCGGTTGCCAGCTTGGGCAGGTACTTCTTCTTCTGCTCCCGGGAGCCGAAGAGCAGGATGCCCTTGAAGCCGATGGACTGATGGGCACCCAGGGCGATGCCCACCCCCAGGTCGTGCATCCCCACGATTTCCACCAGGCGGGCATACTGGGGGGGGGGAAGGAGGGGGGGGGCAGAGAGGAGAGAGAGAGGCTGTGTGCAAAGGACCGGTACCGGACGCTTCAAAGCATGTGCAGAGTTCAACCTCCGAAGATCTGAGCCCCACCCGCAGGGGAGGAAAGGGGGTGCCCCCTCCCTCGGGGGGGGGGCAGGACTGACCTGGGTGTTGGTGAGCCCCAGACCCCCAAATACAGTGGGGATCTGAAGCCCGAAGGCCCCCAACTCCTTCAGCCCCTGCATCGTCTTCTCCTGGACCTGGGCCAGCTCGTCATTCCGCGACGGATTGTTCACCTCCTGCGGAAACCGGGGGGGGGTGGTGGCGGGACACCGACAGAGAGCATTGCTGGAGGGGGGGGGCCCACCTCCCACCTGCCCTCAAACCCAACGCCCCCCCCAATCTTCACCCCCTCACCTCGAAGAAGCGGCCGACGGGACCCACCAGCTCCTGCAAAGTTTGCGTCTGTTCCTCGTTGAGGACTGGGACAAAACCAGAAGGAGGCATGATTTGGGGCGGGACAGTCCTCGGACTTATGTCAGTTCCTTTAGCGACCAAAGTTTTAAAAAGTGGCTTACTAGTCCTCGACCTACGTCCGTTTGTTTTCCGCAACCGTTCGACGTTACGATGACACTGGAAAAGGTCACTTACATCCAGGCCTCGACTTACGTTCGTTCGTTTAGTGACCATTCAAACTTGAAAAAAAAAGGGACTTTGGACCAGTCCTCGATTTACGTCCATTCATTTAGTGACCGTTCGAACTTAAAAAAGGACCTAGGACCAGTCTTCGACTTACGTCCATTCGTTTAGTGAACATTCCCACTTAAGAAAGGACTTAGGATCAGTCTTCGACTTACGTCCATTCGTTTAGTGACCGAACTTAAAAAAGGACCTAGGACCAGTCTTCGACTTACGTCCATTCGTTTAGTGAACATTCCCACTTAAGAAAGGACTTAGGATCAGTCCTCGACTTACATCCATTCGTTTAGTGACCATGCAAAGCTATAACAGCACTGAAAAATGGGATTCATGACCACTCCTCGACATACGACCGTTGCAGCGTTGCAAAAACCCAAAGACGACGCAACCCGTTTCAAAAATCAAAAATTAAAATACAGGTAGTTCCTGACTGACAACAATTCGCTTAAGGACCATTCGAAGTTACAAGGAACGGAGAAAAGCGACTTGTGCCCAGTCCTCAGAGTTACGACCGTTGCAGCATTTCCCACGGTCACATGATGAAAATTGGGGCATGTTTTTTATGTAACTTGCAGTCTCTTGGGGGGGGGTCAGGGGAATCCCCCTTTGCGACCTTCCCTGCTGGCTTCCAACCAGCATAGTCAACGGGGGATTCACTTAACAACCTTAGCGATTCCATGAATGACCAGGGGAAAATAGGTTGTAAAATCGAGCGCGATTCGCTCAAACCTTTGACGGAAATGCTGGTGGCAATTGCGGTCATAGGTCGAGGACTACTGTTGTGCTAGCACCCTCCTGGGGAAGCCCCCCCTCCCCATCAGGCGTGTGGGGGGGGGCGCCTGTGCCTCTTGGAGCCCCCCAGTCCTCCGCAAACAGGCCTCAGCTGCCAGCCAGCAAACAAAGAAGGGGTCGTTTCAGACATACGTCCACGCGCTGAACCAGCCAATCCCTGCACGCACAAAACCCGCAGACCCACAAACACACCTCCCATCCTGCCCCCCCCCACTCATTTTTACCTGAGGGATAAGGGAAGACTTGCTCCGTGATGATCTGGCCTTTGAAAATCCCCACCGCAAAAGATTTGGTTTCCTGGCGGTGGGAGAGAAAAAAGAAAAGTTGATTAAAGGGTCACTCAGTCACTGCCTGCTCCGGAGTCCTGGGTTCGAGTCCTGTGACATGTCCCTGTTTCCGGGCAGAGAAAAGGCACCATCCCTCGGGAAGGATCCAGAATCGCTATTCCTGAGGTTGTCAAAATCTCAGATTGTGACGCCAGGACAACTCCCCCTTCTGGCAGATGTCCCCTCCCCCTCCCCCCCATCCAATCTCTCTGCAGCCCCCACCCCATTTTGAAAAGTTCCCCTAATCTGCCTTAGTCTCCCCTGCTGTGTTTCTTATCCGGAGCAGACTTTCCTGGAGTATTTTTTATATATTCTTGGCCTATATATTCTTGTGCATATATATATGCACACCCGCGAAAACATAAGAAGCCATATATATATATATATATAGTCTTCTTATGTTTTCGCGGGTGTGCATATGCAAAAAATTAAAATCTCGGGTGTTTTCCTGCGTCATTATAAATAAGTTGGTTAAAATATTTAAAATATTTTAAAATATTTAAAATCCTGGTTAAAATCCCAGCTTAAAATCTTCTAAAATTCCTTACAGAGTGCTCCTTGCAGAGTGCTCTGTAAGGAATTTTAGAAGATTTTAAGCTGGGATTTTAACCAGGATTTTAAATATTTTAACCAACTTATTTATAATGACGCGGGAAAACACCCGAGATTTTAATTTTTTGCATATATATTTATATATATAAATATAAATATAAATATACACACATATACATAAGGCTAGTCCTCGATTTACAACCACAAGGGAGCCCAACATTTCTGTGGCTAAGTGAGACAGTTAAGTGAGTTTTGACTCATTTTTACGGCCTTTCTACTCACGGTTATTAAGTGAATCCCCCGCAACTGTAAAGCAAGTCACACGGTCGTTAAACGAATCCGGCTTCCCCGTTGACTCGGAAGGTCACTAAAAGGGGATCACGTGACCCCGGGACCTTGCGGCCGTCATAAATACAAGTCAGTGGCCAAGCGTCAAGTCAAGAACTACCTGCGTCTACTTTCTATGGTCTGTCGTTAAGTGTGAAAAACGGTTATGAGTCCCTTTTTTTTAATGACGTAACTTTGAACGGTCACTAAACGAACTGTTGTTAAGTTGAGGACTACAACAACTTGCCAAGCCAGAAAGGAGTTTCGGGGTGACTATTTCCTTGACCTTAGAAACAGGCGACACCCAAAAGGGAGGAGGTGTAAAATTAATAATAATAAGCTTGAGGGTGGAAGATGGGAGGGCGGGGGCCCATTAAACGGTTGATGGGAGTTGTGGTTTGTCTATTCGAGTAGTTTCACAACTATTACGACTTGTGGACTTCGACTCCCAGAATTCCCAAAGGTTTCCCAGAATTCAGCATGGAGAGAAGAAAAAAAAAATGCAATAATTTTTGGAAAAGTCTATATAAAGTGGCTATAGACTTTTCCAAAAATTATTGCATTTTTAAAAAAAAAAAATCGGGTAACTTTCTTCATAGATGGTGGGAATGCAGCAGATGTAATATATCTTGAATTTAGCAAAGTGGGGGAAAAAAATAACACAAATAGGTTAAAAATGAGTTAGAAGGGACGGGAAAGTGACATGCTGGCTAGGGAATTCTGGGAGTTGAAGTCCACCCATCTTCAAGTTGCCAAGGTTGAGAAACATGGGACCTGTAGTCCTTTCCCCCCTCCTCAATTGGCCTCCACAAGCCCTTCTGGGCCTTCTATGACATCACATAGAGGCAGCCAATAAGAAAAGAGCAGCTGAAATAGCTAGAAGGAAATTTACTTCCTTTTTCTCTGCCTTTCCTGACCCCACGTGCTGCATCAAAATTAGTCCCCCAAATATTGCTCCAGAGACCCCCCCCCAAAAGGGAGAGGGGGAGAGAAGACCACGTACCGTAGGTAGATGCTTTTTCCCCGATTCTTCTTGGGTCAACGACTCTGCCTTTAATCTCTGCTTTTCCGGGGCGGCCTGCAAAAGAGGGGGACAGACAGCGTGACGTTCGTTGGAATTTATGGGGTGCTACTTTCATCCCAGGGGTTTGGCCACAACGATGCATAAAAGCGGAAATTGGGCGCAACGTTTAATAAGAGTGGAATTTGGATGCAAAGCTACTGAAAAGAGGAATTTAAATGCAACACTGCAGAAAAATGGGATTTAAACGCAACCTTTAATAAAAGTGGCATTTAAACGCAACTTTTAATAAAAGTGGAATTTAAATGCAATGCTGCAAAAAGTGGAATTTAAATGCAACGCTGCAGAAAAGTGGAATTTAAATGCAATGCTACAGAAGTGGGATTTAAATGCAACGCTGCAGAAAAGCAGGATTTAAATGCAACGTTTAAAAAAAGTGGAATTTAAATGCAACGCTGCAGAAGTGGAATTTAAATGCCACGTTGCATAAAAGTGGAATTCAAATGCAACGTTGCATAAAAGTGGAATTTAAATACGTGGCAGAAAAATGGAATTCAAATGCAACAGGGCATAAAAGTGGAATTTAAATGCAACCCTGCATAAAAGTGGAATTTAAATGCAACCCTGCATAAAAGTGGGATTTAAATGCAACGCTGTAAAAAAGTGGAATTTAAATGCAACGCTGCATAAAAGTGGAACTTAAGGACAACGTGGCAGAAAAATGGAATTCAAATGCAGCCCTGCAAAAAAAGTGGAATTTAAATGCAACCCTGCAAAAAAGTGGAATTTAAATGCAACGCTCCATAAAAGTGGAATTTAAGTACAACGTGGCAGAAAAACGGAATTCAAATGCAGCACTGCAACAAAAGTGGAATTTAAATGCAACCCTGCATAAAAGTGGAATTTAAATGCAACACTGCAGGAACGTGGAATTTAGTTTCTTTTTTTCCTTTTAAAGAGCTGGAGAAGGTAGGGATGGAGGCAGGTCACCGCCGGGACAGGGGGTAAAGGCTGGCCGGCTGTAGCATGTGGTGTGTCCTGATCCGCTTTTAATCCCGGTGAAATCCGGTCCAGCCACGCTCAGGTTGACAGATTCCAGGGCCCCATAAATAGGCTGTAAAACCGTCCCCTTATTTCAATTATTTCACCCTCAGAGGCAGTCCTCGACTTGCAGCTGTCAACGGAGGCTGCCCACTGCAGACGCAGGTCTTCACCGCCATAAAACGTGTAGCTCTTATACACCCCTTTTTTCTGGTGGTCGTTAAACAAACCTTCCGTCGTTAAGCGGATCCTTGGCTGCCTCCTTCTGAAGTCCTACGGGCAACTGGCACGTTTTTACCTCTTGTGGTTCTCGCTGGGCGTTGGGCCAGCCGGTTGTTTGTGAGGTTGCCTTACACTGTTTGTAAACTGCTCAGAGTCCCTTGTGGGAGCAGGGAAGGGCAGGGACACCTCGCCAGCGGGCAAAACAGAACCCAGGATGGCAATTTGCCATCGGTCGGGGTCCTGAGTCTGGGAGGCACCCAGGGCTGGTTGGGGAAGGAAGGAAGGAAGGAAGGGCGATAGGAATAAGAAGAGAGGAAGGGAAGGGGAAAGGAAGGGAGGGAAGGGAGAAAGGCAGGGAGGGAGGGAGGAAGGAAAACAGGGAAGGAGGCGAAGGAAGGAAGAAGGGAGGGAAGGAAGGAAGGAAAAGAGGGAGAGAGGAAGCGAAGGAAGAGACAGGAAGCGAAGGAAGGAAGGACAGACAGACGGGCGATAGGAATAAGAAGAGAGGAAGGGAAGGGGGAAGGAAGGGAGGGAAGGGAGAAAGGCAGGGAGGGAGGGAGGGAGGGAGGAAGGGGAGCAGGGAAGGAGATGAAGGAAGGAAGAAGGGAGGGAAGGAAGGAAGGAAGGAAAAAAGGGAGAGAGGAAGCAAAGGAAGAGAGAGGAAGCGAAGGAAGGAAGGACGATAGGAATAAGAAGATAGGAAGGGAAGGGGGAAGGAGACGAAGGAAGGAAGAAGGGAGGGAAGGAAGGAAGGAAAAAAGGGAGAGAGGAAGCAAAGGAAGAGAGAGGAAGCGAAGGAAGGAAGGACGATAGGAATAAGAAGAGAGGAAGGGAAGGGGGAAGGAAGGGAGAAAGGCAGGGAGGGAGGGAGGGAAGAAGGGGAACAGGGAAGGAGATGAAGGAAGGAAGAAGGGAGGGAGGGAGGAAGGATAGGGAGACAGGAAGGAAAGGAAGACAGAAGGAAGGAAGGAAAAGAGAGAGAGGGAGGAAAAGAGGGAGAGAGGAAGCGATGGAAGACAGAGGAAGAAAGGAAGGAAGGAAGGAAAAGAGAGGGAAGGAGGAAGGGAAGGAAGGAAAGGAGTTAGGAATAAGAAGAGAGGAAGGGAAGGAGGGAGGGAAGAAAGGAAGGAGGGAAGGAAGGAAAAGAGAGGGAGGGGGAAGAAAAAGAGGGAGAGAAGAAGCGAAGGAAGAGAGAGGCAGGAAGAAAGGAAGGAAGGAAAGGAAGACAGGAAGGAGGGAAAAGAGAGGGAAGAAGGGAAGGAAGGAAGGCAGAAAAAGGCAAGAAGGAAAAAGGAAGAAAGGAGAGAGAGAGAGAGAGAAGGAAGGAAAGTAGGTAGGAAAAGAGAAAGAGGGAGGAAGGAAGGAAGGAAGGAAGATGGGAATAAGAAGAGAGGAAGGGAAGGGGGAAGGAAGGGAGGAGAAGAAAGAAGGGAGGGAGGGAAAGAAGGAAGGAAAAGGAAGGAAGGAGGGAGGGAGGAAAAGAGGGAGAGAGGAAGGGAAGAAAGACAGGGGAAGGAAGGAAAGAAAAGAGAGGTAGGAAAGGAAGGAAGACAGAAAAAAGCAAGAAGGAAAAAGGAAGGAAGGAGAGAGAGAGAGGAAAGGACGGTAGGTAGGAAAAGAGAAGGAGGGAGGAAGGAAAGGAAGGGTGATAGAAATAAGAAGAGAGGAAGGGAAGGGGGAAGGAAGGGAGAAAGGAGGAAGGAGAACAGGAAAGGAGACGAAGGAAGGAAGGAAAAGAGAGAGGAAGCAAAGGAACACAGAGGAAGGAAAGGAAGACAGGAAGGAGGGAAAAGAGAGGGAGGGAGGAAGGGAAGGAAGACAGAAAAAGGCAGGCAGGCAAGGAGAGAGAGAGAAAAAGAAGGAAGGAAAATGAGAGAGAGAAAAAGGAAGGAAGGAAGATAAAAAGAAAGGAGGGAAGAAGGGAAGGGAAGGGGGGCAGTCCGGGGTCCTTTTCTTCCTTCCTTCCTTCCTCGCCCACCCACCCCGGGACGGGCTCCTCCGGCGGGCCATTGTCATCCCGCTCACCTTTCCCCCAGATCCAGCGCCTAAATATTCCCGGGATGACGCGGCTGCCCTTCCAAGGGCTCCGTCCGGACGCCCATCTGGGTCAACCCGGGTCGGTCGTGGGGATCCAGCCAGATCAACCCTGCCTGTCTGTCTGTCTGTGTGTGTGTTGCAAGGAGGACCCCAGACCCAGAATTAAAAGCCCGGGGAGGTAGGGGTGGGGAAAGGGGAAAGGATCTTCGGGGGTGCAAGCAAGACATTCCAGGATCTCGAAGGCTCAAGCTTCTAGTCCTCACCGAGGCACCTCTTCCAACCCAGCCGTAGAGCCTAGCAGGAGGAAGCCCCTTCCCCACAATTACCTGGACGGCGGCTTGGGCGGCGTAGAGTCTCCCAGGGCGGCCGGGGGGCGTCACAACCGAGGGGCAGCCGGGCCTGCAAAAGTGGGGAAGGGGTTGCAATGAAATGGGTGGTGGGGGGCGTCTCAAGAAAGATCCCCCTCCCCTCCCCAGTCCTCCCCCCAGCCCCTACTCACCCCCGCAGGGCGCCCAGCCCCAGGAAGAGGCGTGGGGAGAGGCGGAGGGCTGCCATGCCTGGGGAGGGGGCTCCAAATGGGGAGGGGGCTCAGAAAATCTGGTCCTGGCTTTCTTTTTTCGTGCACGGTGGCGCGGCTGCTCTCGCTTCTGCGGCTGCTGGCTGCCTTCGTTCCGCTCTTTGCTCGCTCCGCCCCCTCCCAAGTCAAAGGGGGGGGGGGGGGGGGGGGGGGGGGAGGGGGGGGGGGAGGGGCGGGGGCGGGGCGTGCTGGGAGTTGGAGTTTGCTCGGGCTGCGGACGTGGCTGCGGCTCCTGTGCAGGGGGTCGGGCCTCCCCCTCCCCTTTGCCAGTGGGGCTTGCAAAAGAGCATGTACAGAGCGCTCCCCTTCAGGAGAACGATCCCTTTTTCCCCCCACCTTGGGGCTTGCAAAGTGGGACCTCTGAGCATGTACAGAGCGCCCTCTACACCACACACACACACACGCACACACACCTTCCGGGCAGCGATCCTCTTCCTATTAGAGCTTGCAAGGAAGAGCGGCTTGCAAAGAGGAAGGCAAGTGCCCCTGAGCGCGTGCAGAGCGCTCCCCCTTGAGAACGATGCCTTTCCCCTTGGGGTTTGCAAAGTGGTGGTACCCCTGAGCATGTGCAGAGCGCTCCCCTTGGGGTTTGCACGGTGGTGGTACCCCTGAGCGTGTGCAGAGCGCTCCCCTTGGGGTTTGCAAGGTGGTGGCACCCCTGAGCATGTGCAGAGCGCTCCCCTTGGGGTTTGCAAGGTGGTGGTACCCCTGAGCATGTGCAGAGCGTCCCCTTGGGGTTTGCAAGGTGGTGGCACCCCTGAGCATGTGCAGAGCGCTCCCCTTGGGGTTTGCAAAGTGGTGGTACCCCTGAGCGTGTGCAGAGCGCTCCCCTTGGGGTTTGCACGGTGGTGGCACCCTTAAGCATGTGCAGGAGCGCTCCCCTTGGGGTTTGCAAGGTGGTGGCACCCCTGAGCATGTGCAGAGCGCTCCCCTTGGGGTTTGCAAGGTGGTGGTACCCCTGAGCGTGTGCAGAGCGCTCCCCTTGGGGTTTGCAAGGTGGTGGCACCCCTGAGCATGTGCAGAGCGCTCCCCTTGGGGTTTGCAAGGTGGTGGTACCCCTGAGCGTGTGCAGAGCTCCCCATCCCCACCTTCTTGGCTGCGATCCCCTCCCTACGGTATCGGCGCTTGCAAGGAAAGGCGGCTTGCAAAAGAGGAAGGGCGGTGCCCCTGAGCATGTACAGAGCGCCCCGCTTTCCGGAGAACGATGCCTTTTCCCTTGGGGTTTGCAAAGTAGTGGCACCCCTGAGCATGTACAGAGCGCGCGGGCCCCCCCTCCACCTTTCGGGCAGCGATCCCCTTATTGTTAGAGCTTGCAAGGAGGGAGGTGGTGTGTCCCTTAACCCCATCTTCCAGAGAACGATCCTTTTCCCGTTAGGATGTATGCCCTTGAGCATGTACAGAGTGCCCCCGTTCCGGGCAGAGATCCCTTTCCTATTAAAGCTTGCAAGGAGGGGCGGCTTGCAAAGAGGAAGGCAAGTGCCCCTGAGCATGCACAGAGCGCCCCCTCCTCCCAGTTGCGAGATCGAGGAAGAGGAGTGGGCAGGCAGAGTCCACTTCAACCGGATTCCTGGGGCGGGGACAAGGGGGATAAACCGGCTATTTTTAAACCTTGTTTTCCTTCTAACTCAGATTCCTGGGGGGGGGGGGGGGGGGGGTGCCCCCCCCCCCCCCAGGTGGTCCTTTTGTCCTTGACTTTGCAACCGCTTTTGGACCTCCCTAGCAAAACTGGGAGGGGCCCCCACCCCCCTTGTTTGGATTTTTAAAAAGTTAAAAAGTTTTGAGGACTTAACAACACAAACTACACAATTTCTCACCAGTTAATTCTGCAATTGTTGATTGCATGTTGTTTTTTTCCAACCTTGGTCCATTGAAGATGGGTGGACTTCAACTCCCAGGATTCAACTTGGCTGGCTGGGGAATTCTGGGAGTTGAAGTCCACCCATCTTCAAAGGACCAAGATTGAAAAAAAATGCTGCTTTACATAAACAAGACCTTCCCTTAGTATCTTACTTTATAGGTAGTTCTCAACTTACAACCATTCGTTTAGTGTCCAAAGTTACAATGGCGCTGAAAAAAAGCAACTTATGACCATTCTTCACACTTACGACCGTTGTCGTAGTCGTGATCAGAATTTAGACACTTTTGGCAACTGGCGGGTACTTATGTCTGTTGCAGTGCCCCGGGGTTACGTGATCCCTTTCCGACGAGCAAAGTCAACGGGGAAGCCGGATTCGCTTAACGACGGTGTCACTAAAACTGTGATTCACTTAAGAACCATGGCCAGGAAGGTCATTAAACGGAACTGTCTTGATTAGCAATTCAACTGTGGTCATAAGTCAAGGACCACCTGTATATAAAACTTTTTTTAAAAAAAAATCAAATTTTAAAAAAATAATTAAATTTACATTTTAAATTTAAATTAAAAGAAATAAACGAACTCGAAAACTATATCCCCACACGTATTTTACACAATCTTACACTCACGCACCCACGCGACTTTTTACAAAACACGCCGAGCAGACTTCGGGTTTTCTTTTTTAAGTTTTTATTTTTTAAAGGAAGGCTTTTTGTACACAAAAGAGCTAAAAAATAAATATGTCATTACAAAAGAGTGTTCTCACGCAAAACACGCCCTGCCACACGTGTGCACAGACCCCCGAGTGATACAGGAGGGCTAAATAGTCGGGGTCCGATGCCGAGGACGGCCGTTCTCCAACCTGAGACTTCCCAGACTCATCAGGACTGTGACACCCGCCCCCCTGAGCGAGGGGGACGATGGAGCTTGTAGTCCTCCGTATCTGGGGAGGGGTCCCAGATGGGCGGCCGCCTCAATGGGATGCCTCTAAAAACAGCGTTTCTCAATTTTTGGCACTTGAAGGTGGGTGAATTTCAACTCCTTCGTAACTTTTTTAACAGAAAAGTGACTTTCTTAATAGACGGTGGGAAGGCGGTAGACGTAATATATCTTTGATTTCGGGCAAAGCGAAAAAAATAACCCACGACCAGCTAAATGAATAACCAGTTAAAATGTGGGCTAGATGGCAGGAGAATTCAACGGAAGATTGATATACCGGCTGGAGGATTCTGGGAGCTGAAGCCCACCCACCATCCAGCAGACAAGGTTGAGAAATATTGGGTTTTGAGCAAGGGGTTTCCGAACGTTTAAGGCTTAAAAGTGGCCACATTGGGGGTTTCCTTTGCTCTAATATCAATATATTTTAATTTAATTTAATTTATTCAATTTATAGGCCGCCCCTCTCCGAAGACTCAATATATATATATATATATTTAATAGGTTTTTTAAATGATTGGGGTTTTAATCTGTTTGGGCCAAATTGTTTAATTCGATTTTACTTTGTTTTTAAATTTTGTATCTATGTATTTTTACCGTTTGGCTGTTCACCACCCTGAGTCCTTCGGGAGTAGGGCGGTATATAAATTAAATAAATAAAATAAAATAAAATAACAATATATCGATCTTCCTTTGAATTGTCCTGCCATCAAGCCCACATTTAACCCATTTTATTCGTTTAGCTCGTCGTGGGTTATTTTTTCCCACTTTGCCGAAGTGAAGATAGTATATTACGTCTACAGCCTTTCCACCGTCTGTTAAGAAACTCACTTCTCTTATTAAGAAAAGTTGCCAAAACAAAAATGGCGCTGAAGGAATTCTACCCGCACCTCTTCTATCCGCGGTGAATGCTGGGAAACGTTCGCTGGCTGGGGAATTCTGGGAGTTGAAGTCCACCCACCCGTCTTCCAAGCTGGAGAGGAAACACCGATCGAAAACATCCCGGTGGGCTCGGGGCAGAATAGCACCATGGTAGACAGAGTCTGTACCCTGTTTTTTTTTCGGGGGGGAGGAAGAGAAAGGAATTGAGGCAGATTTTTTTGGGGGGGGAGAGAAGGGACAGGCACAAAATCAGCCCCACTTCCTGCCATTTGCATTGCCCCCCAATTTTGTCCTATCAAGCCATAAGCTTGGATTGGGAAGAGTTCGGTCTGTTCTTTGGGGTGAAGGACCCCCCCCAAATTTTGGAGAAGGAAGTGGGGCAGGAAGGGGGTGTCCAGAGGCCTCTGCGGGGCTCAAAACCCCAATATCCTTCCCCCTTTACACGGAGAAAGTCACCTGAAAGTTTGCAGCTTTTTTGCATGGAGGGGGAATTATACTGGTATGCAGACCCTCTGGAAGAAAGGGGGGGGGCTTTACTGTCTACCCCCCAGTTCATTTATCTGTAACTTCTGGGGTTCTTTCTTCACGCACAAACCCTCCCAGGAGAGAAGGCAAAGAGGGACATCGATGGCAAAGCAACCTAGAAAATAAGGCTTCCACAGGTGGCATTTGGGGTGCAACCCCCCCAAGATACAAAGAGGGGATCAAAATGAAGTTAGGAAAGAAATAACGCCCCCCCCCCCCGCTTTTTTCAAAAACAGGCCGGGCTGTAGTGTTAAAATACAACTGGGGACAAGAGACCCTATACAAGTTTAAAGGAAGAGGAATTAACTCCCCCCCAAAAAAATGTGAATTAAAAACAATCTATAAAAAAACATTTTCTTAATAAAAAACAAACAAACACAGAACAAAAAAAAATAAAAATAAAAAGACCCCTTCATTGTTACCGGCTCGGAGACCCTCTCGAGAAGAAGGTCTGGAAAGTACCGTTGAGACGAAGCGGCTGTGGCTGCCGCCGTTGCAGGGCCGAGGTTCGGAATTGGGAGCGTACCTTTGCTTCGGCCATTTTGACTTTTTTGACCAGGCCCCGCAGTGAAGCAGGAAGACATCCTCCTCCCCCTGCGAACCACCCAAAGGAAGGGAAGGAAAAAGGAAGCCGCCGCTCACCGCGGTCGCCAAATCTTGGGAAGAGGAGGGGGAAAAAAAGAAAAGATAACTCGGACGACGGACAGAGGTGGATTCGGCACCATCACCTCAGGAAGACGAGGTGATTTTTTTTTCAAGGCTGGTCGGAGAATGCTGAGCCTCCCTGTCTCAGCATAGCAAGGCACGAACATCGGAGGAAAACCTGAGACACGGCCAGTCCTGAAAAGCAGCTTGGCCTACGAGCCCCGGAGCGGAAG